ATGACAATGACCCCAAACACACAGCCAGGGCGACTAAGGAGTGGCTCTGTAAGAAGCATTTCAAGGTCCTGGAGTGGCCTAGCCAGTCTCCAGACCTGAACCCAATAGAAAATCTATGGAGGGAGCTGAAACTCCATGTTACCTAGCGACAGCCCCAAAACCTGAAAGATCTGGAGAAGACCTGTATGGAGGAGTGGGCCAAAATCCCTGCTGCAGTGTGTGCAAACCTGGTCAAGAACTACAGGAAACATCTGACCTCTGTAATTGTAAACAAAGGTTTTGGTACCAAATATTAAGTTCTATTTTTCTATTGTATCAAATACTTATTTCATGCAACAAAATGGAAATAAATTATTTAAAAATCTAACAATGTGATTTTCTGGAATTTTTTTGTAGATTCTGTCTCTCACAGTTGAGGTGTACCTACGATGAAAATTACAGATCTGTCCATTCTTTGTAAGTGGGAAAACTTGGAAAATCGGTGGTGTATCAAACACTTATTTGTCCCACTGTAACTACTGTACTTGTTGATAAATGTAAAATGCACACCTGTATCTGTAGATATAAAATGAAAATGATTCTGCAAATGTCCCATTTCTTGCCATACAAAATTTGGTTGGATAGTTCTGGAGACATTTGGCCATTTTTCCTGGTGAACCATGTTTTTACACTTTAAAAGCTGACTGCCTGAAAATGCTGCAGCTGTTTACTCAGGTGTGTGAAGGCTTCATGTTGATGTCTGAGTGAAGAAAAGATCTTCATTTATTGTGCAGCCAAAGGGCTCTACCGGTGGGACAGTGCATCAATGATCAGGTGGTCCTTGGCAGGTTTGAATGAGTAATGGCTCATAGCTACTGATGATCCCTTTATAAACAAAACAAAACAAAAAACAAACTATTGGCCATTTTGGATCTATGGTAAAAATATAACAACAGGCTATTAATATTACTGTATTTGCTGAAAACTTTCAGCAGGCAAAATAGCTGCCGACTTGGAGCTGACTTGGAGTTGAAACACTGATGTGAAAAACAGAAGATACATTTTGCAGACCAAACCAGTCACAAGCTTCATGTTTAATTCACAGAAAATAAGAACAATTAAGGTCACAGACTGTGGAAAGTGGTAATGGTCGTTCACAATGTGATTTACCAGTTGCATAGCACAACAGTGAAAAAGCATAATGTGTGGATTTATGACAGGCGGTAACACAAGGCTCATTCAATCTGAATGAGATTTATATCTGGTTGCACGCAGTGTCCCCTCAACTATGATTTAATACTTCACTTTGAACAATGACTGTAACAAACTGCATGTAGTAATTAGATGAATACCTGTCACTTCCTTCCCATTACATTTTCCAAACTGAAACCCACCTGAACAAAAACAGATTCTGACTGAATGCAAAATTAAACTTCCTGTCATCACAGACCAGATGAGGTCAGAGGTGCACCAGTGGCAACCAACAGAGGTCATTACAATGCTTTCCTGGCAGAGAAGATTTAGTGTGGGGTTACTCTTTAACATTACAAAACAAGCACACTATCTGCAAAGGTGAACAGCATCTGAGCAAATGGAGGGTGAACAGTTCACCTCAGGAGGAGTACAGCAAATTAAAGCTCAGACCCTAAACATCTGATGGAGGTAATATGGAAAAGTTCTGTCAGCCTGGCAGGCATTCAGGGTCTCTATTAGGGCTAGTCTTTTCTAAGTAGGGTTTTGTGTTAAGCCTTTACTTAGCATTAATATCTTCCTATGTGTATATCACACACGAGAGAAGTGAAGATAAACACAACTGTTAATATATGTTGTGAAAACAGGGAGCAATAGTTCAACATTATTCATCTAGAATACAGTGATTCACTGACATAACTCCAACTAAAACCAAAACACTGTCCTAAAATTTGGTGAGTGGTGAACAGGCGCTGACTGTTCAAACAAGAAGACATGACAGTAGCATGTGGTAAGACTATCCATCATACAAGTGATTCAAACATCACTGATATTGTCATCTAAAGTTTAGACTCACAGTGGGTCAAGATGAGGTGAGCCAGAAGTGTAATGGCAGTTTGGTAATCCATCAAGTAGAACTCAAACTATAAGAAACAGTTTTAAAAGTAAAGAGATAATCAAAGCCAGCACATTCACACTGGGCTAAGTCTATTGAAAGCTACTTCACTAACTAGGCTCTGAGCATTAGATGAATCACTGTTTAATGAAGAGGCAGGACTCTGAC